TTGCCTTCAGAAACAAGTGATTGACAGCTGTATATTTTAAGAGACACGTGTTCAAAAGTCTACACTATGAATGAGCAGGGTGTAGTGTTTTTTGAGCATCAGGCGATGACTCTAGAGACTAGAGTTTGAGTCCCTGCTCAGACATGGAAATCTACTTGGGCAAGTCACACTCTCTAAGCCTCAGAGCGAAGCAAAAACAACCCCCTCTAAAGAAATCTTGCTGAGAAAACCCTATGATAGATCTGCCTGAGGGTTGTCATAAGTCAGAAATAACTTGAAGGCACACAACAGTCCTATGAATGAGAGGTTCAGCTATATGTACTATATAAGCACACAGCAAGCATCATAAATGCACTCTGGAGCAGGCATGGGCAAACTTTGGTCCTCCAGATGTTTTGGACTTCAACTCACACCATTCCTAATAGCCTTGGGCCCTTTCCTTTTCCCCTCAGCCACTTAAGCTGAGAGAGTGTGACTTGCCCAAGTGGGTTTCCATGTGAGAGTGGGACTCAAACTCTAGAGTTGTCACCCAACGCTCAAGCAGCTGAGGGGGAAAAGGAAAGGGCTCGAGGCTATTAGGAATGGTGGGAGTTGAAACCATGTATAAATATGTGAGAGGAAGTCATAGAGAGGAAGTAGCAAGCTTGTTTTTGCTGCCCTGGAGACTAGGACGTGGAAGTGGAACAATGGCTTCAAACTACAAGAAAGGAGATTCCATCTGAACATTAGGAAGAATTTCCTGACTATGAAAGCTGTTCAGTAGTGGAATTCTCTGCCTGGGGCATGGTGGAGACTCCTTATTTGGAGGCTTTTAAACAGAGGCTGGATGGCCATCTGTCGGGGATGCTTTGAATGCAATTTTCCTGCTTCTTGGGAGAGGGTTGGATTGGATGGCCCATGAGGTCTCTTCAAACTCTATGACTCTATGATTCTATGAAGTTCAAAACACCCGGAGGACCAAAGTTTGCCCATGCCTGCTCTTTAGAGCCCATAGAGCAGCGTATCTTAGCATGGGGGTTGGGACCCCGGGGGGGGGGGGGTTGCGAGTGGGTGTCATCAAACACAGTATTTTCATTTGATCATGTGGGTTCTGTGTGGGAATTTTGGCCCAATTCTATCCTTGGTAGGGTTCAGAATGCTCTTTGATTGTAGGTGAACTATAAATCCCAGCAACTGCAATTCCCAAATGACAAAACTAATCCCACCTCCCAACCTCACCAGTATTCTAATTTGGGCGTATGGGGTATTTGTGCTGAATTTGGTCCAGTGAATGAAAATACATCCTGCATGTCAGATAGTTACATTACTATTCAGAACAGTAGCAAAATTGGTGTTATGAAGTAGCAACGAAAATAATGTTATGGTTGGGGGTCACCACAACATGAGGTATTAAGGGGTCAGGGCATTAGGAAGGTTGAGAAACACTGCCACAGAGGCCTAGAACTAGAAGAGAGTCAAGTAATAAAGGTGAGACTATATATGTATACACGTTTTATTAACAGGGCATTCGAATTGATTGACAGCTGTAAGGCATTCCCATTCATGACGCCATAATAATGGAGCAATTAGACCGAGTGATCCGTGGCTCTGATTCTCGCCCCCGTCGAGTTTTGGAAGGCCAAAGAGCAGGGGGGGGGGGGGGGAAAGGGAGGGGTCTCTTTCTCTCCAGCCTCCACCCCTTCGCCCACGGCATGCCTGAGTTTCCTCCCCTCGGAGGTGTTGACACGTGGGCGATTGCCGTTGCTCTCACAAAGCATGACTAACGGGGCATCTGACAGTGCAGGAAAAGAGGGGGTGGGGGGCTGTCAAGATGACACGTGTTTGTGTCCGCGGGTGTATATGGGGGGCGCTCACGTGCTTGCAAATGCCTTTGGAAACATATTGTCCCAAGCTTTCATGGCCGGAATCACTGGGCTGTTGTAGGTTTTTCGAGCTGTATGGCCATGTTCTAGAAGCATTCTCTCCTGACGTTTCGCCTCATCTGTGGCAGGCATCCTCAGAGGTTGTGAGACCTCACAACCTCTGAGGATGCCTGCCACAGATGCAGGTGAAACGTCAGGAGAGAATACTTCTAGAACATCGCCATACAGCCCGAAAAATCTACAACAACCATTTGGAAACAATCATGAGCTCCGAGAAAACACCCCAAGCCTTGCTTCTTACTTGCAGTATTCTCCAAGGAAAAGATTGGAAGGAAATTGGACATCCAGTCAGTCACCCTCAAAATAGGATCGACTACGAATCTAGCAGATCTCTTTCTTCAGAATGAAATCATCGGAATTGACGGGGCAAAGAATCATCGGAATTGACGGGGCCTTTTATGTGCCCCCCCCCAACGCGTTTTATCTGATTTAAAACCCGCATCTCTGTTATATCCCAGTGTGTAGGGCAGGCACGGGCAAGCTTTCTAACTTGGGGGCCGCATGGCGGGTTGCAGTGGGGGGGGGGGTTCCCAGAAGGGAGGGGGTTCTCCCCAAGCCCCCTCCCTGCCCTTTCCTCCCCTTCCTCTTCTCTTTCAGAGACAGAAAGTGAAGGAAAGACGGGAAATGTTTGGATCCCAAAAAGGTTGGTCTTGGTCAGGATGAGATGGTGGATGGGAGAGAAAAAGTGTATCCATGAGACCCCCTTATTGCCTACTCTTGATATAGAATCCTAGAAGTGGAAGAGACTCCCAAGGGCTATCCTGTCCAACCCCTTGCCATGGAGGGAGGCACAGTCAAAGCACTGCCGTAGACAGCCTCTGTTGGAAAAGCCTCCAGAGAAGGCGACTCCACCCACACTCTTAGGAAGTTCTTCCTAATCTTTTCAGTGGAATCTCCTTCTGCCATTTGAAACCATTGCCCCCTTGTGCCCTGGTCTCTAGAGCAGCAGGAAGTCAGCCCCCCCCCCTCCTCAATGGGACACCCTTTGGAATCTTGAAATGTGGTTCTCATGTTCCCTCTCTACCTTCTCTTCTCCCAGCTAAACAGCCCCCAGGAAGAAAAGAGGAAGGAAAAAGAAAAGGGAGGAAGCGAGGAAGGAAGGAAAGGTGGAAATGAATGAATGGAGGGAGGGAGGAAAGACAAAAAGGAAGGAAGGAGAATGAGAGAGAGAGAAGGCGGGAGAAAAGAGGGAAAGGAAGGAAGGAGGAAAGGGAAGAAGGGAAGGAAGGAAGGAAAAGAAAAGGGAAGGAGAGAGAAGAGAAGGAAGAAGGGAGGAAAGAGGGAAAGAAGGAAGGAGGAAAGGAAAGGAAGGAAGGGAGAAGAGAGAGGAAGGAGGAGGGAGGAAGGGGAAAGGAAGGAAGGAGGAAGAAAGGGTGGAAAGGAAGGAAGGAGGGAGGAGAAAAAGGGAAGGAGAGAGAAGGAGAGAAGGAAGGAGGAGGAAAGAGGAAAGGAGGAAGGAGGGAGGAAAGATAAAAAGGAAAGAAGGAAGGAGAATGGAGAGAAAGGAAGGAAGGAGGAAAGGGAAGGAAGGAGGGAGAGAAAGGGAAAGATAAAGAGAAGGAAGGAGAATAAGAGAAAAGGAAGGGAGGAAAGAGGGAAAGGAAGGAAGGAAAGGAAGGAGGGAAGGGAGGGGGAAGAAAAGGGAAGGAAGGAGAATGAGAAGGAAGGGGGAGGAAGAGAGAAAGGAAGAAGAGAAGAAGGAGGAAAGGGAAGGAAGGGAAGAAAGGAGGGAGAAAAGAAAAAGGAAGGAGAAGAGAGAAAGAAAGGAGGGAGGAAAGAGGGAAAGGAGGAATGGGAGGAAGGGAAGGAAGGAGGAAGGGAGGAAAGATAAAAGGGAAAGAAGGAAGGGGAATGAGAGGGAAAGGAAGGAAGGAGGAAAGGGAGAAAGGGAAGGAAGGAGGGAGAAGGGAAAGATAAAAGAGAAGGAAGGAGAATGAGAGAGAAGGAAGGTGGGAGGAAAGAGGGAAAGGAAGGAAGGAAAGAGAGGAAGGAAAGAGAATAGAGAGGAAGGAGGAGGGAGGGAGGAAAGAGGGAATGAAGGAAGGAGGAAAGGAAGGAAGGGAAAGGAAGGAAGGAGGGAGAAAGAAAGGGAAGGAAGGATGGAAGGAGAAAGAGAAGGAAGGAGGGAGGAAAGAGGGAAAGGAAGCAAAGACGAAAGGAAGGGAAGGAAGGGGGGAGAAAGCAGGGGAGGGGAGGAGGAAGGAAAGAGAAAAGGAAGGATAGGATGGTGAGAGAGAGTTGGGACTGAGAGAAGAGTCCGAGGGGCCGTATCCGCCCGGGGCCCGGGTTTGCCCATACCTGGTGTAGGGCGAGCGAGGCTCCCACCCACAGCATGTATTGATTCGCTTTGTGTTCCCTTTCTTTTTATCCTGCCTTTCTCCCGCTGTAGAGACTCAACACCAGGCAAAACTAGCAAACAAAATCGCGGCCACTTTTCCTCCCTTTTTGCCGAGGCGACACCGTTACCAAGTGCGGAGCCCTCCCTCCTGCCTCCCCCCACTTCTCCCCATGGAGCCCAGACAGCGAGGAAGCCCAGCGCCCCTGGGAAGCGTAGTCCTCCCTCTCGGGCCTGCCTTTCTCCTCCGTGGAGTCAAAAACTACCTTTCCCAGGCACCCATGCGGGCCGTCCTCCCTTTGCCAGTGGCGAAGCCGAGCCGTCAATCAGCCGGCGTCACGGTGTGTGTATGTCTTTGGATGGATCGGGTTTTTTTCCTTCCAATCTCCTCGCCTTGGATTGTGTGCCTCTGAGGGCTTCATAATGTGAGCCAGGCAGGGGAGGGGTGTGTGTGTGTGTGTGTCTGTTTAGGTTAGGATTTCCACCCAAGGAGGCAAGTGTCAGGCGGGGGTGAGAGCGCAGTGCAGCGTGAAGAGCGGGGACTCCTAATAAGAGGATATTTTGGAGGGGAAAGAGAGAGAGAGAGAGAGAGAGGGAAAGAGAGGGGGAGAAGGGAAAGAGGGAGGTCTCCTTTGAAGGGGGAGAAAGAGAGAGAGAGAGAGAGAGAGAGAGAGAGGGAAGGAGGTGTGGGGCTTTATTTCTTTCTCTCCCCACTTTTTGGCCATGGCTCTGGGCTGCTGCTGATCTGGAATGCCACAAGGCAGATCGCAGCCAAGCTGATCGCCTCCAGCAGAAGCAGAAGCAGCGATCGCGAAGGCGAGTCCTGGCGATGAAGCGGCGAAAGCTGGCGGCGGCGGCGGGCTTCTGCCTCTCCTTCTTGCTGGGCACTTTGCTCAACGTCTTCTTCTTCATCCCGGCTTTCGACCCTCAGCAGCAGCAGCAGCAGCAGCAGCGGCAGAAGGGGGAGGCGGAAGGCAACGAGGCGCTCCTCCCGCTGCCTCCTCGGGGAGACTTAGCCCGGCAGATCCGGGAGCGCTACGAGGAAGTCCTGCGCTACCGGGAGCCGCGGGCAGCGCGCTTAGAGCGCCGGCTGATGGACCTGGAGCGGGGCCGCCCTGCTGCTGCTTCTTCAGCCTCATCTTCACCTCCTCCTTCTTCTCCTTCTTGGTCTCCGACCTCCCGCCTGGAGCTGTCCCTGGGCCCGCTGCGCCTGGGCTGCGCGGACCTGCGGGAGGCCGGCGAGGTGCGCTTCCTGGGCTCGGGCTACACCAAGGCCGTCTACAAAGCCGCGCTCCACGGCGGGTCCGGACGCGCCCGCCCTCCTCTCGCCGTGGCCCTCAAGGCCGTGGACTTCGCCGGGCACGACGTGGCCCGCTGCGCCCAGCTCCACCGCGCCCCGCAGGACTGCTACCGCCTGGCCTCCTACAAGGTCCTCAAGGAGATGGTCCTCCTCCACCGCCTGCGGCACCCCAACGTCCTCCAGGTAGGAAGGGCCGTCTGGCGGGAGGGCTTTGGCCGGGTGGGTTCTTGTAGGTTTTTCGGGCTTTATGGACATGTTCTAGAAGCATTCTCTCCTGACGTTTCACCTGCCTCTATGGCAGTGGTTCTCAACTTGTGGGTCACCAGATGTTTTGGCCTTCAATTCCCAGATATCCTAACACCTGTTAAACTGGCTGGGATTTCTGGGAGTTGTAGGTCAAAACACCTGGGGACCCACAGGTTGAGAACCACTGCTCTATGGTAGGCATCCTCAAGAGGTTGTGAGGTCTGAGGATGCCTGCCACAGATGCAGGCGAAACGTCAGGAGAGAATGTTTCTAGAACATGGCCATACAGCCCGAAAAACCTACATCAACCCAGTTGTGAGGTCTTTTGGAAAGTCTGAGGATGCCTGCCACAGATGCAGGCGAAACGTCAGGAGAGAATGCTTCTAGAACATTCAGCCCGAAAAACCCAGTGATTCCGGCCATGAAAGCCTTCGACAATACTTTGGCAGTGTGTTCCTCCACGGACAGATGCATGGCCCTTGGGGTCTCTTCCAAAGCCAGGGTACTATCATACTTGGATAATTATAATAGGGGAGGATAAGCAAGGGGGGGGGGTCTCCATCCAGAGAGAAAAGCGGGGTAGAATTGAGTATATTATACCAATATTCATTATGATATAGGAGGGGCACCCTAATGTCCTCCAGGTCGGAATAGGATCCCACCTTCCTTCTCTTTCATTCTTCTTCCTTCTCTTTTATCTTTCCCTTCTCCCTCCTTCCTTCCTTGAGCTCTCTTCCAACGCCAGGATTCAGTAACGGTAATGATGATGATGAGGAGGAGGAGGATAAGGAGGACAGACAAAGAGATGGTGTCAGGATAAAGGGAGCCACTGGGTCTCCACCCAGAGTTTGCTCCCTCCTCAATGTGACATCCCTTCAAATATATCGGCGTGGCTGTCTTCTCCAGGCTAAACACGCCGGCTCCCTAAGTTGCTCCTCATAGGTTTGGCTAGACCTTATCCTTGAATTGCGGTGCCCAGAACTGGACTGGATTAGAAAAGGAGTCAACAGTGAGATGCGACAGTTTAATAATAAGCCAATGCGATTCCAAGGTGCTGGAAGAAGAGTAGACTGTCTCTTCATCACACTAGAGAATGAATCCACTTTAAATCCGGTTTCTGTAAAATTCTGGGGTTTGTATTTTAGTGAGGCTGTTAAAGCCTCCTCCCTAATCCTCCCTAAACTACAAACCCCAGAATTCTGCAGGAGACAGCAACCGGATTTAAAGTGGATTCATTCTCAAGTGGGATGAATCAATAGATCGAGGGAAGCCATGGCCCCACTCTAGTTTGCTTTGGTCAGACCTCACCTGGAAGGCTGTGTCTCATTCTGGGCCACACCATCCAAGAGGGAGACTATTGACCTGCTGGAGTGCGTCCCAAGAAGGGAGACTAAAATGGGCAAATGTTTGGAAGCCAAGCCTTATGAGGAACGGTTTGGGGAGCTGGGTATGTTTAGCTTGGAGAAGAGGTGGTTGGACAAGATCTTTCGCCTTCTCTGCCCCACCAAACTGCAACAGCTATGATTCCATAGCGTTACGAATAGCATGGCAGCTAAAGCGGTGTCAACATGCCTTAATTCGGGAATGATTGATCCCGTGTCGCTTTGAGGGCGCGCCCAAGTGAAGCAGGAACCGGATTAGGAGAAATATTCGAGGGTGGCAACTGAGAAAATTTGCTTTCTCAGGAGCCGGTAGTATCAACTGTGGATCCTTGGTATCCGCTGGGGTTTGGCTCCAAGATCCCCGGAAACACCGAAATCCATGGATACTTTTTTTTTTTTTGGTTGTGTCAGGAGTGACTTGAGAAACTGCAAGTCGCTTCTGGTGTGAGAGAATTGGCTGTCTGCAAGGACGTTGCCCAGGGGACGCCCGGATGTTTTGATGTTTTACCATCCTTGTGGGAGGCTTCTCTCATGTCCCCGCATGGGGAGCTGGAGCTGACAGAGGGAGCTCATCCGCGCTCTCCCCGGAAGACCTGTCGGTCTTCGGTCCTGCTGGCATAAGGGTTGAACCCACGGCGCCACTGGGAGCTTCATCCATGGATGCTGAAGAGAGAAAGAGAGTTCATCCCCCCGACTTTTCTCCGACATATTAATATAGGGGCCTTGGTTGGGACCTGCCTACATTTTACCACTGGCCACGTGTGCTTTCCTTCTTCTGAATTGGGCTGGCTTCCCTCAAACGGCATTAATTCCACAGTGTAGACGCAGCGCTTTTCATTTGGAAGTCAAGGAGGCGAACTCGCGGAGCCTGCGCCCCGAATGAATCCAGAATCATCGAGTGCCTCTTACACCAGGCTTGGGCCAACTTGGCCCCTCCAGGGGTTTTGGACTTCAATTCCCACATTCCTAACAACCTCAGGCCCCTTCCTGTCCCCCCTCAACCGCTTAAGAAAGTCTCTGCATCTTCAGGGGAAAAAAAAAACCCTCTTGGGATTGACTACTGAGGAGATGGGCTGGAAATTGTCCCTGGACTCCTATTCCAGGGGCTGCTTGATGCTAGGAGACCCCTATTCTGGGTTGTTGTAGATTTTTCGGGCTGTATGGCCATGTTCTAGAAGCATTCGCTCCTGATGTTTCACCTGCACCTGTGGCAAGCACACTCAGAGGTTGTGAAGTTTGTTGGAAACTAGGAAAATTGGGTTTATGCTTTCCAACAAACCTCTCAACCTCTGAGGTTGCTTGCCACAGATGCAGGCGAAACGTCAGGAGAGAATGCTCCTAGAACATGGCTATACAGCTCGAAAACCCTACAACAACCCAATGATTCCGGCCATGAAAGCCTCCGACAATACATTGACCCCTATTCTGATAGATTTCCTTTTAGCTGGCGAAACAGAAGGCTAGATAAAGCATTAGATTCCGTGTTCACATTATGCCATAGTGCTACTGTGTGCACTTCAGAAAAGTTCGCCTCCCAATAAACGCGTGTCAGCTCGTTTGGAAAAAGAAAGCGATTGAGGGCAGAATAAAAAAGGAAGCCTCTCCGGATCTAAGCATTGGCATTGCATGGAAATCTTGATCAGAAAGGCTATTAATGTCATATCAGTAGCAATGTTGGCAGGCTATTAAAATAGGTTTAGAGAAAATGGCATTTTATCTAAGCAGGGTGTTGTAGTTTTACAGGGTCTTTAGCCCAAGAGTGCTGCTGATGCCCCACCAAACTACAATTCCCAAGATTCCAAAGTGTTGAGCCAGGGCAGTTCAAGTGAGGTCAGTCTGCATTAATTCCACCGTGTAGATGCACCTCAGACCTCTTCCCCACCCAGAAGGATTCTGTACTGTCCCTTCACACAACAGGATGGGGTATGAAACTGACTACACATCCTGGCTTTTTAACATCCTGGCTTTTTATACTATGAACAGAATTGAGAGTGCTAGTCCTGTTTGGTTCCTGTACTGGCCGGGGGATTCTAGGAGTTTTATTATAAAATAATCTTTTCCCCAGATTTTCTTCTCCTTCTTTCTCTTACAAATATTCAGTCCTAGGAAAAGCACTTTTCAAAGTTTTTTATTCTGCTCAACCTCAACCCCTAAAGTGGAATTGTGGGGCTATGCTTGTGTGCATCTGCACTGTAGGATTAAAGCAGTTTGCCACTACTTTAACTGTCCTGACTCAATGCTATGGAATCATGGTATTTGTAGTTTGAAAGGCATATAACTTCATCTGCCACATAATGCTGGTGCCTTACCAACTCCTAGAATTCAATAATATTGAGCCAATGTAGTTAAAGTTATGTCAAAACAGCATTAAATCTACAGTGTACATGCACCCAAGGTGGTGGAGCTCCCAGTGGTGCAATGGGTTAAACCCTTGTGCAGGCAGGACTGCTGACTGAAAGATCTGAGGTTCGAATCTGAGGAGCGGGGTGAGCTCCTGTCTGTCAGCTCCAGCTTCTCCCATGGGGACATGAGAGAAGCCTCCCACAGGACGGTAAAACATCTGGGCATCCCCTGGGCGGACAAACCAATTCTGCATTTTCTCAAGTTCATGAAAAAAAAAAAAACAACCCAAAGTGGTTGAAATATATCCATGAACTCACAAAAGTGGGTTATATATTTTAGGCCAACCAAAATGGACAAGGCACTTCATGCAAGCCTTTGAAACCCAACTGGCTTCTATATCAGGTACTATAAAAGCATACAGAGGAACAGAAAGAGGCAGTCTCTGTTAGTAGTTTAGATTGATCTCTGCTGTCAGGGGCAAATCAGCCTCTTCAAGAATGCATAGGAAGCAATCCTGGAATTGTCAAGTTTCCCCAAGTCCCTTCTTGCATGTTTTAAAATGATGGTCTTTCACATTTTCTGTTTCCCTAGAAAGACACTTTCAAGAGCTCCACCCCTGGCACTTGTCCTCACATTGTTGTCTTGCTGTTGTTGTTGCTGCTGCTGCTGCTGCTACTGTGCCTGCTGGTACTATATTTATTTAAACCTTTCTCTCTGGATGGGGATCTAAAGCTGCTCACAACTTTAAAAATAATGTGCTTTACATTCTTTATGCACACCCCACACAAACATCTTAAGGCAATACATATGAATGGAGTATTGCGTGGTTTCTGGGCTCTATGGCTATGTTCTAGCAGCATTTTCTCCTGACATTTCGCCTATGGCTGACATCTTCATATATGTGACTATTATGATTATCCAAAGAATCCTGTGAAGCAGGTCGGTTTGAGAGCTAGAATGGCCCATAGGAGTTCACCCAGTGAGTTTTACAGTCGGGAGTCTGATAATAACGATAATGATAATAATAATAATAATTTATTTATACCCCACCACCATCTTCCCAAGGGGACTCAGGGCAGCTTACATGAGGCCAAGGCCAACAATTACAACAAAGCAAATATACAACAAAAAATCAGCAATAAAATATAATGAAAATAATAATATAAAAAACAATACAGATTAACACACAATGCAATATAAAACCACAATAAT